AACTGAACGACACAGCGTTTTACCATAATGAAGATGTGGTGTTTTTCCAAAAGAAACTATGTAAACATGTGCTTATTTCACAACGTGTTCAAGAAAGACCTTTGACTTCCCGTAATTTAAGGTCCACCCGTGACGTCATTTGCTAGATTGCGCAATTCAAGATGGCGGATGTTTAGAACATTGAAGCGATTTTTCAACGTAAAAACGGGCTAAAGTGAACAAAAGATCTACAGATTTGGCAGATGTCATGTATGTACTAAACGACTATGTGGTCCCCAAAATAGCATTTTTGGGGTTTACATGCCCTTTAACGAAATGCTAAAGTCGGATCTAATTACTTCGTAAAATATGCAACCAAACGATGTCCTTTCGGACAAACACAATTTTATCAACTTACAAACGCATTGCGTGAAGTACTTCGTTCTTTGCGAGTCCCAGGTATACCCAGACCTCCTGCTACGCACATCTGAAATAGCACACAAAGTTCCTTTATATTAACAAAGTAAAATGTACACGAATACAGGATGTACATTGATTTCTTGACTCAAACTGCCAAGTAAACAATGTGCATATCTAAGTTTCCAAACCGGAATAACAGACCGGGCTCGACCTTCTAAATAGTTCTTAGAGAAATTGTCGTGATTTTAGGTGCCATGCATATTTGGGAACGTAAATTCACCGGATTACAGCATTTGTATCCCCCATTTTTTTTTCCCACAATTTTAATCGCGCTTGGATTATTTGCTCTGAGAACAGTGTTTGCATCTGTCTCAGAAACCCTTTTGAGCTTTTCAAAGAGAGCCCCTGCAACAGTGTTGAGATCTTTAGAATTAACTCTAACACTGTGCGCACTAGTAGCATTATTATATTACATACTATTTGCGTATTTTCTTCATCAAACAGTTTTCAATTTAGAGCATCTTAAAATTCTTCGAAAAGCATTTGAGGCCTTGCGAGTCATCTAGTCAGGTAACGGGTATTAGAAGACATTTGACAGTTAACACCATCTGAAAGGTTTTATCCAAATCTGAGAAGGCACTGAATTTATATTGTGTTGAATATTCCTTACAGTTTATTCAAGCATGATTTCGAGGACCTGTAGTACAGCCCAAGTGGTAGATATGAAGTTCTTTGTTCAAGAAGTTTCGAAGTGAATTTGTTAACTAATAAATTCAGCTATTTTTTAAACTTTAAAGAAGGGTGGACCGAGTTCATCGGTCTGTAAAGCTACAGATAGTTAAAGAACAATTTTCTCTTAAATTTTCGTTTTCTATTTTCTGATTTTGTCTATTTAGGATGGATAGGTATTGCCCAGATAATATTTCCATGGCAAAGCATTCCTAGCGTTTTAGTGTTCAATGCACCCAGGCTGCCTCTCATCTTAACGAGTAACATACAGCAAATATCGTAGTTGCAGACTTAGGATGTCAAAGACAAAATATAATGTACTTTTTGAAAGAAGACATGCGGTTCATTTTCTTGGTAGACTTGGAAAGTAGCAAGAATAAACAGAACTAGACACGCCACAAATTTGCGTCCATGTAATCAAAATAATATCCATGATTATATCCACTGAATCTGATATAAACAAACTGAGCTCCCTCGATTAAGCGACGTTGTCGAGGGTTTTATCACAGAAAGTTAAATTAGAAATGAAAGAATTTTGTAACAGATCTAGAAGAGTAACTGATTTCAGCGACAGTGTTAATAAGCTCATTATTTTGTGATATTAAACACGGAAAAAGTGTAAGTTCTCGTTCGTTTCCGTCCTTGAGGCTTCTTCAGGTTCATAATAATTACGTGTGCATATTCTTTACAGTTTCAAGAAGAATTTCAAGGGAGGTTTTCAAGTCTGTGAACATAATCCTTGGTCGGACAAACCGAAAGGATCGATTGCTTGATGATGAACATCACGTCAACTAAGACATCTGTCTATCTCTTCCGTACAACTAGACAGTTTGCATTTGTATGCAATAACTCTCGAAGTATTTACATGAGGCGTCTGTTCTGAGCCTTTTTCTTCGAAGAGTCTCGACAAGGAGATCGAAATTTGCCTCAACGCTGAACTAACCTTGCCAATGCATCAAGATTCAAAGGTAAACCCGGGGCAAATTGACAATTCACCTCCTTGCCAGCTTATATATCAACAATCTTTTCGAATTAAAGGTTCCATGAGCGGCATGGAACTAGACACAAGCACAACTCACCCAAACACCCATCCAAATACCGAAACCTGTTTCAGTGTTTTGAATTGCACGGTCAGCGACGCCAAAACAGAAAAGTATAAATCCCACAATGATGTGCACATTGGCAAGAATCCTCGCCATGTCGGCGGCATTGCCTGCATTGTCCGCCATGTCTGAAAACGTAAATCAATACCGTACCACAGAGAAGAGAAAACGTCATCCACTATATGATATTTGGATAATTGCCA